TATTAAAGAGTATGTAAACCCAACATCTGATACTCCTGATACAGTACTCTATGTGCCTGCTGTACCATGTACATGTATGAAAAAGGATCCTGTTCTGTTTGTGTTCTCTGGTGTTCCTGCCAGTCCCTGTGCTTTCCTAGTAAAACTGACCAAATTAAGCAGAATAATACACTGTGGTCAGTTTTCTAGCTATGCTGGAACTCAGCCTGCTCTCCTCCAATGATCAGAATTGTCCTGTCACCCATCCTCCCCTTGCCCTCCCCCCACAGCCATTCACTGACAGCCCCGCAGCTCACACTCCCTCCAAACCCGTCCCCTCTCACACAACTACCCCCCTCATCACCCCTCTCCCACGGCCCCATCACTGCTCTGACCTCCACCTCCACCCGACCCAACATTCCTCACACTGAAGCCCCCTCAACACTCCACACCTTCGACCTTACTACCATCGAGGAGGTCTCCAAGGTCTTCTCTGATGCCCGCCTCACCATCTGCCCCCTCGACCCTATCCCCTCACAACTCCTACAAACCCCCCCCCCATCCTATGCTCCCTCACCCACATCTTCAATCTCTTCCTCTCTTCCGGCACATTCCCCTCCCCTCTGAAGCATGCACACATCACCCCCATACTTAAAAAGCCCTCCCTGGACCCCAATGACCCAAACAACCTCAGACCCATCTCCCTGCTCCCATTCACATCCAAACTCCTCGAGCGCTTAGTCTACACTCGCCTAAGCTCTCACCTCAACGACATCAACCTCCTCGATCCCCTACAGTCTGGCTTCCATCCCCTACACTCCACCGAAACTTCCTTACTCAAACTCTCCAACGACCTTCTAATCGCCAAAGCTAATGGCCACTATTCAGTGCTCCTACTACTTGACCTCTCCGCGGCCTTCGACACAGTGGACCACCCCCTCCTCCTCAAAAAAAACTACACTCCCTCGGCCTCAGAGATTCCGCTCTCTCCTGGCTCTCATCCTACCTGTCACAATGCTCTTTCAGTGTTACCTATAACGCTACCACCACCTCCCCCTTACTCTCCCCCTCTCTGTTGGGGTCCCTCAAGGCTCCGTCCTCGGGCCCCTTCTCTTCTCCATCTACACCTCCTCCCTTGGCCAACTCATACACTCTCACGGCTTCAACTACCACCTCTATGCCGAAGACACACAAATCTATCTCTCAACCCCCCACCTCACCCCCTCAGACTGGATGTCGCTCCACATCCTTAAACTGAACCTCTCCAAAACCGAGCTCCTAGTCTTCTCCCCAGCCCGCACACCACCCCCCATTGACTTCTCCATCACGTCCAACAATGCCACTATCAGACCCGCCCCGCAGGCCAGAGTACTTGGTGTCATTCTGGACTCCAACCTGTCCTTTCAGCCCCAAGTCCAATCATTAACAAACTCATGCAGACTCCACCTCCGCAACATCGCCAAAATCCGCACGTTCCTAACCCCAGAAACCACTAAACAGCTCATCCACTCCCTCATCATATCACGACTCGATTACTGCAACTCTCTCCTCACTGGCCTGCCTCGCCACAGGCTATCCCCGCTTCAGTCGATCCTGAATACGACAGCCAGACTCATTCACCTTACCAACCGCTCTGTTTCCGCCACCCCCCTCTGCCAATCCCTCCACTGGCTTCCGATTGCACAACGGATCAAATTCAAAATCCTAACACTGATGTACAAAGCTGTCCACCATACTGCCCCAAATTACATCACCGACCTAATATCCAAGTACCACCCAACACACACACTCCGCTCCTCACAAGACCTCCTTCTCTCTAGTTCCCTGGTCTCCTCCTCCCATGCCCGCCTTCAGGATTTCTCCAGGGTGTCACCCATCCTCTGGGAACTCCCTGCCCCAACCCATCAGACTATCACCTACTCTCCTCTCCTTTAGGTGCACCCTGAAAACCAACCTCTTCAGGGAAGCCTACCCCACCCCCTGCTAATTCGCCGATCTCCTCCACTCTTCCTACCACTCCATCCCCCACAGCTATCTCCTCCTGTACCACTATCCCCTCCCTCCTAGATTGTAAGCTCGAAGGAGCAGGGCCCTCGAACCCCTTGTGTTTTGCATTGTATTGTTACTGTACTGTCGCATGTTCTGTTCCCCTTTGTAATGTACAGCGCCAAGCAAACTGTTGGCGCTTTATAAATACTGTATAATAATAATAACTAGAAAAATCTACAAATTCTGGGGAAATTGTGTGAAGTGTTCTTGCCTCCACCAGTAGTCTACAACTGGAGTGGGCGGAGTAGCTTTTGTCACTCTGCTGCCTGCTCACACTCTACAATTTCTGGGGAAATTGTGTAAAGTGTTCTTGCCGCAACCTTTACCAAATGATTGATGAAATGTAAGCAGTGCACATTGCAAGCCTGATAGTGAGAATGCATTTCAGCTTGTATTTTGAAGCTCACAGTCCAGCCTGGTGAGTCATCTGCCTCTTGAGTGACCTTTGGTTGCTGCACCTGGAGTGGGCGGAGTAGGCTCACTCTGCTGAGACAGCTGGGTTGCTATGACAACTCACTCTGAGAGGAATGTCAGCATGTCTGTTCTAAACAGGCTTTTTAAACTTGCCATCTTCACTGGCGATTGCCATCTTCAAACGCTTGTAGTTTTAAAAGTATAAATGCTACCGTGAAAATGTTTATATTGTGACAATCACAAGAAACAGACCTAAATTTTGATATATAGTATGTCTCTGCAATATTAAAAATGAAGGCACAGTCGCAGTTTACAAACGTCCCTTAAAATGTCAGGTGTCTAGAGTGGATTTTCAATGAAAGTCAATGGGAGGGGTGAGGTGCAAACAAATGGTCATATTCTGAAAACTATCAGGAGTATGTCCTAGCCGTGAACATTTTTAGTGACAGCAGGGTTAGCGGAACGTTTTGATATAAGATATGTGTAGGTGGGCTTGAAAATGAAAGAGTGATGGCAGTTTACAAATCATGTTCTGATTTTTTTCTGATTTTTCCTTTGCACACTCTAGCTGTGCTCTGCTGCTCAATGCATTCCTATGGGAAAATTTCACCGCAAAAACCGTGATATTTCTTGAACGATTTGGCGAAACGTTCCACAAAGTAATAGCAATCCGATCGGGAACAATCCACACGTTTTGATATATTACTTGTATTTGTAGTGTAAAAACTGTGGGAGGAATTAGCGTGGCAAATATGGCTATAATAAGAAACGGAATAAGAATAAGAATATATATGTGAGATAACAATAAGTGTTCCTTGCTATGCAAGAACACTTAACTAGAAAATCTACAATTTCTGGGGAAATTGTGTAAAGTGTTCTTGCCGCAACCTTTACCAAATGATTGATGAAATGTAAGCAGTGCACATTGCAAGCCTGATAGTGAGAAATGCATTTCAGCTTGTATTTTGAAGCTCACAGTCCAGCCTGGTGAGTCATCTGCCTCTTGAGTGACCTTTGGTTGCTGCACCTGGAGTGGGCGGAGTAGGCTCACTCTGCTGAGACAGCTGGGTTGCTATGACAACTCACTCTGAGAGGAATGTCAGCATGTCTGTTCTAAATTTTTTTTTAAACTTGCCATCTTCACTGGCGATTGCCATCTTCAAACGCTTGTAGTTTTAAAAGTATAAATGCTACCGTGAAAAATGTTTTTATATTGTGACAATCACAAGAAACAGACCTAAATTTTGATGTATAGTATGTCTCTGAAAGATAAAAAATGAAGGCACAGTCACAGTTTAAAAAACGTCCCTTAAAAATTTCTGTGTCTAGAGTGAGTTTCAATGAAAGTCAATGGGAGGGGTGAGGTGCAAACAAATGGTCATATTCTGAAAACTATCAGGAGTATGTCCTAGCCGTGAACATTTTTAGTGACAGCAGGGTTAGCGGAACGTTTTGATATAAGATATGTGTAGGTGGGCTTGAAAATGAAAGAGTGATGGCAGTTTACAAATCATGTTCTGATTTTTCTGATTTTTCCTTTGCACACTCTAGCTGTGCTCTGCTGCTCAATGCATTCCTATGGGAAAATTTCGCCACAAAAACCACGATATTTCTTGAACGATTCGGCGAAACATTCCACAAAGTAATAGCAATCCGATCGAGAACAATCCGCACGTTTTGATATGTTACTTGTCTTTGTAGTGTAAAAACTGTGGGAGGAGTTAGTGTGGCAAATATGGCTATAATAAGAATAATAAGAATATATTTGTGAGATAACAATAAGTGTTCCTTGCTATGCAAGAACACTTAATCATGTCCTGATTTTTCAGCTCCCACTCTAGTTTTGAACATTCCGCCATTCATTCCTATGGGACCAAATTCACCACAAAAACGGTGTGATATTTCATGAACCATTCGGCGAAACGTTCCACAAAGTAATAGCACACCAATCGGGAACAATCCGCACGTTTTGGTATATTACTGTCTATGTAGTGTAAAAACTATGGGAGGAGTTAGGGTGGTAAATTTGGCTATAATAATAAGAATAAGAATATATATGTGAGATAACAATAAGTGCTCTTGCCATGCAAGAACACTTAATAATCTAGCGCTTGAATGTCATCCACAAGCTGCAGCATCTATTCATGATGCCTTCTCTTGTGGCTTTAATTACATGCGAGCGATCTGTGGTGCACCAGTTTTGTGGACCTTTATTGTAAAAGCGATTTCCTCTGATTTTTAATACATTTGGGTTTTATGGAAAGCACTAGGATTTTTTTATATGCCTTTTTTCTGAGTCATCCAACTGGGAGTCATATTTCCCTGTGAAAGCGGACTAAGAAGAATATCCATCCATCTAGTTTATCCAATTACATCCCTTAAAGGGACAAGTGCATATGATCTATTGATTGTATATCATAAGCAAGGTGAGCTGCTACTGGTGTTGTGGCACAAATTGTGAAACACAAAATAATTGTTTTTGAAGTACTAAGGAATACAATTAACCACACGGCGGATCACCGATCACGGAAAGAACCGAGGATGTCAGCTCGGTCATGTGATCAGCTGTGTCCAATCACAGCTGATCACATGTAAACAGGGAAATGCTGGTTATCAGCGTGACAGCTGGAGAGGAGAGCCGGTAATCAGCTTTTCGTGGAGGGGACATGTACACTGATGATCAGTGTGCCCTGATGATCAGTGTGCCCTGATGATCAGTGTAGCCCCAGCAGCGCCACCTGTCAGTGTCCATCAGTGCCTTGTGTCAGTGCTCATCAGTGCCTCGTGCCAGTGCCCATCAGTGCCACATCAATGCCACATATCAGTGCCTACCAGTGCACATCAATGCCACATATCAGTGCCCATCTGAGCTGCCTTTCAGTGACACACATCAGTGCCAGTCAGTGCCACCTATCAATGCCAATCAATGCCACCTATCAGTGCTGCCAATCAGTGCCAGTCAGTGCCGCTTATCAGTGCCAGTTAGTGCCAGTCAGTGCCGCCTATCAGTGCCAGTCAGTGCCATATATCAGTGCCATGTATCAGTGCTGCCTTTCAGTGCCCATTAGTGATGCCTGTCATGCCCATCAGTGCCAACTACCAGTGCCTCCTCATCAGTGTCCATCAGTGCAGCCTATCAGTGCTCACCACTGCAGCCTCATTAGCGCATATCAGTGAAGGAGAAAAATCACTTATTTACAAAATTTTATAACAAAAACTAAGAAAAAATTTTTTTTTTTTTTTTAATTTTCAGTGGTTTTTGGTTTGTTTAAGAAAAATAAAAACCCAGAGGTGATTAAATACCACCAAAATAAAGCTCTGTCACAAAACAATGATAAAAATTTCATACGGGTACAATGTTGCATGACCGCGCAATTTTCATTCAAAGTGCGACAGCGCTGAAAGCTGGAAATTGGCCTGGGCAGGAAGGGGGTATAAGTGCCCTGTAGGCTAGTGGTTAAAGGGCACATAAACATGGAATATTATTATTTTTCTCTTTATTTTAGCAGAGTTGGACATTTTCACATGAACGTTTACTAATGCATTATTTATTGATGTGCAGCGCTGAATTGTTTTTGTAAAACTAATTTTGCATGAGGTGTATGGGACACTGTATAACTTGGCAGCAGTACAAATTGGATATGCAGTTTTTGATTTTGATTTTATTTCATTTATATTGTGGTGTGCACAGGGGTATTTTATTTGTTAAATGTTCACCAACAAAATTTCTTCATCAAGTGCCCCTCAGCAGGGGACCCAACACATTTCAATTTATTCTGTACAAATCTTCTTCAGGCGAAGGATATTTTTTATATCTTCCATATGTCACCACAGAACATAGGATAGAACATTTAAAATGTATACCATCTCCTCAGATTCATGGGCCCCAGGACATCTGCAAGGACAGCCAGTGGGCACCCAAGGGACCAAATGTCTATATATGACTGGCTCACGGAATGACCATTAGGAACAAAAGCAAGTACCACATAACCAGCATTCCAACAAAGTATGTGTCAGCTTTTAGGAGATTCAGGAGGAAAAAATACACTTAGATGAATTTTCCTGCACAGAAACACAATCTAATACCCAGTTTTAAAAAAATATAAACTATGATGCTGCACCAAGTAAATACCTACCAAACATGTCTAGATTTAAAATTGTTCACACCTGTAAAATGGTGACAAACTACAGTACCTAAGTAAACCTGAGGTATACCACTAGAATTATTGCTCTCACTCCAATATTTGTGACAATAACTCATATGTGTGGTGTAATCACTGGGGTATGTTAGACCCCCGATGTCTCTCCTGTCCTTCAAAGCAGAAAGCAGCCGATCAAAAACTGATCTGTTTGATCAGCTGCTTCCCTGGGTGTAACAGCTAGGGAAGGACAACTCTGAAACTGGAAATGACAAAATCTTCATCACTCATTCATCATAGAGGAGATGAAGGTATAGATGTTCCTCCATCTCTGCAGGCAGTCGACCACTGACCGTGGTCTTGGAATCCCTGGTGGATCACTTTTACCGGAAAGCTGATTGCCAGCTTTAAAAAAACAGTACCAGGATGTTTATATAGATATGCTGGGCAGCAAATAGTTAATGAGCATACAATGTGGGCAGAGCATCGGGATCTACTATATTTATTAATAATGTTAAACATCACTGTTTGTCCTGTGTGCCGGTGATTTCTGCAGAAAGGGTTAACACATTGAATGAACCTCTCCTGCTTTAAGCTGGTTGTAAGTACCCCAAGTTTTTACATGATATTCAATACGTTATCCTTGTTAAGCAGTACAACATTTCAGATCCCAAAGGGAGCAGTCCTGGTGCATTGATTCTCTCCAGTTTATGGTCCACCCACAGTTCCAGGGTAGCCTGCAGTGTTCCTCCTGAGCGACCTGACATCGCTGAATTGTTGTCCCCTGCTTGAGTCAACACACTCCTCAGTGCCTCCACATACCTCTGTAAGGTGTGGCCATCTCCTTAGCCTTAACCAGGGAGGAGTTCCCCTCAGCAATGCTACAGTTTAGGACAAAACTTGCAACTATAAATACTGGCACTGAATGCAGAAGCTGTAAGAGAACTTTTACACTTTTCCCTTCAGAATCCCTTTTCAAACATTCCTGCAGCTGTATAAGTCTCTGATCCTTCTGCTGTAGAGGTACTGTCTGATGAAGAGTATCACAAATATTTGTTGGATGAATTAGTTACATGGGAGTCTCAGTCAGCTGGTTATTCTCCCAGTCTTAAAGATGCCATATCAGCACTTATTGATGCTGTGCAAGCCACCTTTAAAATAGAACAGCCTCTGCATCTAAACTCTTCCAGTATGCTCCTTACGTTACTGTTCTGTATGGAGACCGGACTACTCTTGATAAATGTTTTACTTGGTGGTGCACCGAAATGAAAATTCTGGTGCCGAAACTGATACTGAAAATTCAGAATGCATGTGGCTGAAAACCGAACTGAATCCGAAATGTCTGCGTATATGGGGGTGGGGAGGCTCCAAATTACTTTGTATTTTTTTCTACTTTCATGTATATTTTTTATTTTTTTTTAACTCATGATATTATTGCTATCACATAGGGGACCAATAGTCCCCTGTGTGATAGCATATGAGTGACAGGTCCTCTTTGTAGGGGGCAGTGTGTACAAGGAGAGGAGCAGTGTATACAGTGAGGGAGCAGTGTATACACAGAGGCTATCTCACTGGCTGTCACTATGGGGTTTATTTACTAAAGCTGGAGAGTCCAAAATCAGACTCCCTTCTGCATAGAAACCAATCAGCTTCTAACCTCAGCTTGTTCAATGAAGCTTTGGCAATGAAACCTGGAAGCTGATTGGTTTCTATGCAGAAGGGAGTCTGCTTTTGGACTCTCCAGCTTTAGTAAATAAACCCCTATATGTCAGTGCCGGTTTTTAAATGCAATTGCTGTCTTTTTTTTTTTTCTTCACTATAGCTCACAGAATTAGCTGTCACTTTCCCCGGAGCTAAAGGAAACTTTATCTTGAGAAATAAACTAAAAGTAAACTTGTTTATTTCAGCTGGGAGGAAAGTGACAGCTAATTCTGTGAGCTCTAGTGAAGGAAAAAAAAAGCTGGTGTCCTGTATTGGCACCTGCATCGGCTACATTTTTCCTAACGGCAAAATGCTGATGGGGTTATTTTCGGCCGATATGCTTCGGTGACCGAAATTTTGGTGCATCTATAGTTTTACTCCTTCCAAATTCTTTTAACTCCAATATACAGTTGTTGAGGATTTTCCTAATTAGTGGGCTGTTCCCACTGTGGATCTGGAAATATTCCACCCTAAGAAATTACTGACTGTACCTACTAAGAAGGCTCCAGAGGACGAAGGACCCCACTGACAAATGTTTAGAAGCCCTTTCCAATTATTATTTTCACTCTTAAATCTACCATAGCTGTGATATCTGTCTGGCAAACCTTAGGAGAATGAACTTTGCTTATGCCAAAGGATCCTGCTGTAGTCCTAAATGACCCTTAGTTGTAGAGCACTTGGAGCTTTTTGCCTTCAGCCCCACATTGTTGTTGACAGCTTAGTTGATATTCTCTTCTTCTCTTGAATGTGTAATAGCATGTGGAAGAGCATGTGTAAAAAATGCTTGCTGTGTATGCCATTTGATGGCGAATATCTCTTTGGTGCAACTCCTGCTTCTTAGGCCCTAAAAAAAGAGCTCATAGCGGTAGGATCTGTCACCAGCTGTACCCACCAGACACAGCCAATGACTGATCACTACACCGGCCCGCTGCCAGTGTCATGTGATTGCTGTGACTCACTGTAGATCACATGACAATTGTAAACAATGGATGGATTCCTTTCATGCCATCCATTGTATTCAATTGTGTTGTTAACTGTGATTGGTTACATTGATCACATGGTACAGACAGGGCCAATCACAGCCCATCTGTACCATGTGACTAGCTTTGGGCAATCACAGCTAATCACAGTGTCATTCAGTAAAAATGGTTTGCTATATCAATTAAATTAATTGGTATAAACAATCATAATGTGAAAACAAAATCCTAATCACTCCCCCAGAGTAGTGCAATGTTAAAAATTAAAAAAATTTCAAAAAAATTAGATATATATTTTTTACATACTGTCACCACTCAGTGTCCCTGATCAATGCCATACTAGTTATATGATAACACTGTACTGGACTGGTGATAATATGTATAAAAAAAATAGTGTGACTTTTTTTTTGTAAATTTCTTCATTATCCAAAAAATTGTGAAAAAAATTACAACTTCAAAAAACCTGCCTCTTGCTAAATACCTGAGATTGTCTATTTTTTAGGGACATTTGGGGATATTTGTACTGTCCTGGTGTTTTCGGGCCTCTAAAAACTAGATACAGTGGGGATCGAAAGTTTGGGCACCCCAGCTAAAAATTTGTATTAATGTGCATAAAGAAGCCAAGGAAAGATGGAAAAATCTCCAAAAGTCATCAAATTACAGATTAGACATTCTTATAATATGTCAACAAAAGTTAGATTTTATTTCCATCATTTACACTTTCAAAATAACAGAAAACAAAAAAATGGCGTCTGCAAAAGTTTGGGCACCCTGCAGAATTTATAGCATGCACTGCCCCCTTTGCCAAGCTGAGACCTGCCAGTGTCATGGATTGTTCTCAATCATCGTCTGGGAAGACCAGGTGATGTCAATCTCAAAGGTTTTAAATGCCCAGACTCATCTGACCTTGCCCCACCATGGGTTCTTCTAAGCAGTTGTCTAGAAAACTGAAACTGAAAATAGTTGACGCTCACAAAGCTGGAGAAGGCTATAAGAAAGATAGCAAAGCGTTTTCAGATGTCAATATCCTCTGTTCGGAATGTAATTAAGAAATGGCAGTCATCAGGAACAGTGGAAGTTAAAGCAAGATCTGGAAGACCAAGAAAAATATC